AAGGGTATATTTTTTTGTTTTTTTTAACCAGTAGCTTATGACTTTAAACGTCACGCGATGTAAAACTATATCTGGCCATGTCACATGTCATATTGCCATTAACTATCACTAAAATACGAAATATTTATACGAGGTTTTACCAACAGTATTTATAATATACGAAATTCAAATAATTATTTTTTTGATAGAAGGATATAAATTGTCTGATGGTTTGACACTTAATGTCAAGGGAAGCTAGATAAAGTCAAGAAAAAATTTCGCTTTAAAACTAAATCTTAAATAACTTAAAAACAATTTATTATAGGTATAGGAACATGTATCAATAAAAAGTAATGAATCGAAAAATCTTTTCACTAGTGACATAAAAAATGGGGTGAGTTTCCATCTGAAAAAAATAATTTATGATATTTTTTCATCGCTCAGTTTCATGACAGCTACGGCCAATATTAGAGATATTCGAACAATTTAATAATCGAGAGATCTCATTGTGAAACAGTAATGTGCAAAAAAGCCCCGATCTAGATGTTGTAGTTGTGACAAAAACTTCCTTTTATTGAAAATTTAAGTCAAAAATCTTGCGAACGGCTACTCTTATATCGGAGGCGGTGGGAACAAGCTTTTGCTTCTGCACTTGACTAAAAAAATGATACCCACCTATACCTTACACTGCATACCAGAGGGCGCCACTTATTTCAAAAAGATGCTAATACTTACAAAGGATAGTACAAACTGAAATAAGAAAATTTGTACAAGTGTATTAATTGAATAGAAACTAAAATTAGTATAGCTATTAAATATTTTGAGAAACTGGATCAACCAATGAAACAATTCAAATACCCAAAAAAAAAGATTTATTACTTGTTAGAAATATTCGGTACCTATTCGGCACAGCAGTTATGTACATTAATATACAAGAATTATATTTAAGAAATATAATAATATAATGTATAATATTATTCAAACAATTATAATATAAAAAGAATACTTTTAGAGACGGTCCTGGTTTTATTCGAATATTAAATATCTAAATTTCAATTGACTTATTACGAAGATTCATGAACCTTTTTGTTTATATATAGTTAAGGGAAAAAGTTTAAAAGCTGCATCCAAGATTGCCCTTACAGGTCAAAGATCGTAATGATATAAAAGGTTAACATAAATAGATGTTAAATATGAATAATCAATCAATATAACATGATTATTTTAATAATCAAATACAAGTAAAATTTAAGCAATGCTGAAGGCAAATACTTAAAGTGTTAAAAAAAATAAAATGTAACAGAACATTAAATTTTATAAATTAAGGGTTAATGTAATGCTGAAGGCAAGTACTTAACCAGTTAAATGTAAAATGCTAAGAATAGTTAATTTCTTAACACGCTAATGACTATTTAGAATTAAATTAATAAAATTTTAGTTTACTATAAAAAATATACAGGCGTATACCAAATTATACTAAAAAAGGATCTTCTTAATGATACAAAAACATCACAGCATCCAACTTCTCCTCAGAGGGGTGCAGGGCTGAAATCTAAGCGAACAGGCTGCTACTGATTACTTCGGTAACTGAACACGTAAGAAAACTTGTGGAAAAACTTCTAGAAAAATATGCAGAACAACTTGCAGAAAACGTCTAGAAAAATGTCTAGAAATACTTGAAGAAAAATACGTGGAAAAATGCTGAGAAAAATACGTAGAAAAATCTGTAGAAAAACCTAAAAAGAAATGCACGGTATTAGTTAACCTTACATTTTAAAAAACTCGAAAAATTTACGAAGGTATTAATTTACCTCATTGTGAAGGCACACAATCAATAATTATTTAACATTTCTTCTCAAATAAGGGCTGGACCATAGACTTAAAATAAAATATAGACTGAGCATCTCATTCATAAATAGCTGGAACATGCGGTCAGACACTGTCTTGTTATTGTTGTGTTATTGTTTTAGGTTATAACGAGTGCGACACGAGCGATAGATAGGTTGTCTCTGTCGTAACGGTCGTTCCCTGACGACTCTGCCGAGAAACACAACACTGTCTTTCGTTTCTCAAGTACACCTGAACTCTCCGTATCATAGCCGGGTAATTTTTTATTTTAATGAAGCTATAATTAAATTAAAATATATCGTATTTAAACTTTTTATATTTTATTAAGATTTAGGACAGGTTTTTTAAATAAAAGTTTAGAAAAAACGTCTTAGAGTCCAAAAGGATAAAAATAATAAAATACACGTTATAGAAGAAATTTTATAATCGAAATTACGTAATTTTTGAAATTAATAATAAATTATTAATTTTAGTCAAACATTTACAACCCCTAATATTAATCAAAACAGGATCTATTCCACAGATATAATAGAATCGGCGACAGGGAGAGAAAAAAAATATGATTGTTGTATTTTTTTTTCTGGTTAAGTGATGTCTTATTATGTAAGTTAGAGAAAACATAAATCTGTTCCATTAAAGCAAGGAAGGTGATAGGAAGTGGATAAAATGAAAACTACATTTATTTAACTCGGTACTGTCTTTATTATACCGGGTGCGTCCCAAAAGTGGCTCATCCCCCATAATTTTTTTATATTTTCAAATAAAAAAACAATATTTAGTATGTTAATACATGACATAAATTAGGATTGATTGACGCATTCAATTGTTTTTGGTCACTTCCTGTTTCACCGGAAATGACTATAACATTTAATTTTTAAACGGCACCCTTGGTATATTTCTACTTTATTCGATAGAAAATGACACTCTGAATAGAATGACACATCATATGTCAACTTTTCACATTCTCGCATATGGTTTAATTGTAATTGTAACACGCGGTTCATAACGACAATTTGACACGAAATACCAAGTGTGTGGTATCAATATATTCATAAAAAAATGCTTTTTCCAAATATGCTAATGAGTCCCTTGTTCCCTTGTTCCATTTGAAAAAATTGACATATGTATGATTAAAAATACGATTTGTACATCTTTTAACCGGCCTAGACAAGACACGAAACCCATTAGACGATCAAAACTATTTTTCCAAGGCTCCTTGATTAAAACTTAGTGTTTTTAACAACACCATGACACCCTGGATTGAAATTTAAAATAGGATTTGTTTTTAAGCGACAATGTCAAAAGTTGACATATGATATGTCATTCTATTCAGAGTATCATTTTTATCGAATAAAGTAGCAATATACCGAGGGTGCCTTTAAAAATCAAAAGATGTAATCATTTCTGTGAAACAGGAAGAGACCAAAAACAATTGAATACGTCAATAAATCCTAATTTATGTCATATACCTACTAACATACAAATCTGTTTTTTTTTTATCTGAAAAAATAAAAGAGTTATAGGGGTGAGCCACTTTTGAGACGACCCGGTATATTAAAAAATATTGTTTCACAATGTAATATAATTTTAAAATTCTTGTATGTTATTTAAGATTCTGAAGATAATTTTAGAATAAACCGGAATATATTTTTAATAAAAACATTATTAATTATTAACAGGGTTATAATTATGATTTTGTTACAGTGTAAGTAAGTAAATAATGTAATGTAAGAGAGAAAAAATTCAGATTTTACATTTTACTAAAATATTATCTAAATAAGCGCCTTTCTACAACAACGCCACTGACTCCTAATGGGTAAATTGAGAGTTGCCTACCGGTCAAAAGTCGTTTCAGGACATAAATGGATTATTTATGTCAAATTTCTTGCAAATTTGGCACTGGCGAACCATATTTTATAGTTCTTGAACAGAAAAAGTCAATAAAATAAACCCTTAAGGACCACAAGCTAAGAAAATGCGTAATACAGCCGGGGAGATAGCGGCAACAAAGCTTTGCCGCACACGTCCGACACGTACTACAAGGTAATAAATGAATGAATAGGCTCCCTCGCCTCTAATCGGTGTTGTCATATTGTAAAGAACTTATCCTTTTTAAACAGTATCCGACTTATAATTTAGTAGTATAGGACTATTTAATACATCTCTGGAATATTAAAACCTACTTTATTAAACTGTAGTATTAATATCTCAATATATGTGTATAACAAGAAAAAAAATATTGATAATATTAAAGACGTGACAACATAGGCTGGATGAGGAAGGCTCGGTCGACTGTACCCAGAAGTAAACATGTGTACAAAAAATATTGTCTGTCCGCGTTGAGATGTAAATAGTGTAGTCTATATTTTATTTTAAGTCTATGGGCTGGACACTTCTCATCAAAAAAACTGGAATCTAAAAGAAAGGCATGTGAAGGTTTTTTCTACCGAATGGAATGTCAAGGAAAATCTTACCAAAACTATAGATCCACTAAAATCTCAATAATCAAAAGCTATATGGGACCTTCAACCATCTATAGGATACCAAAATCACAATATTTTTCCCATATTGTGAAAAATACCAGCTACATAAACTTAATTCTCAAAATGGCACAGTGACCTCGGTAACGGCCAAATCCGAGGTGGCGATTTTGACGTTTCCCGTCTTGTCGATACACCAGGGTACGATCCAATATTTTCGATAGAGAGCGTTCCGAAATTTAAGCGTAGTAGAAATGTAAAAAGAATATCGATACAATAATAAAATACCGTCTATAATAAAACAAAGTAGCATTTGGAAAATAAAAATGCTACATAGTTCTCTGGAAACTTCTAATGCACGCTCAGCCTGGGACACCCTGTATAACAGTTAAGTTTTACATGATGTTTTTTTCTCATTTAGATTCCTGGAGGTGGCTAGCGACCTATTCAGATCTATTGTGGCCCTCTTTTGACCCTTATATCCCTTTCAAAAAGTCTAGAAAACCTGCACATGGCTTCGTTCTTCAGTACCATCAGTTTTAAGAGTACCTGTTAGACCTATTGCATATGCAGCTTTGACCGTCTTTCTGTCTTTGCAATATTTTTTAATTCGTTGCAATTTTTTTATCCAAACTGCATTTTGAAACGTGTTTATCTCTATTTGTTATTTCATCTATTTTTCTTTGGTTTCAGATTCAGAAGTTCCAACTAAATACTGACCAATAAGAATATACACCAGGCATCAATAAAAAATGGACCAATTATACATGTATAAAAATATAACAATATTAAATGTCATAAAATAATGTACGTATTTAAATATGGCAGTTTTAGAATTTTACAGTTTTAGAAATATGGCAGTTTAGAACTTTTACATTCGTTAACATTTGTATAATGTTTTTTTTAGAAATATAGGTATCTTTCTATGTGTATTGTAGTATTAGATTTGGTAATATTAAATAGATAAAAACAGTTGTGTTATAATTTTTTTACCCTCATCCAACTAAATTTAAGTTATAGTGAATAATTTTGTTCTAGTTTATCGCAATGATAGATAGATAGATATACATCTTTATTTCAAGAATATATTGTAACATGACACAGGCTGAAATAGTGTCAAAGAAAACAAAAATATACAAAATAATTTCTGAGAGGTAACCAATAAATTTAAAAAAACACAAGAAATTCTGACTGTTAACATGTCAATATCTAGAACTGTATTAAAAAATGAAAAAATTACAAGGTATAGTATAAATTCTCTCCTGATTTAAAAAAATAATCAATACAAAAATGCAAAAGACAAAAAAAAAGACGTTTTTATCAAATTTTAACAAAATACAAATAAAATTAGAAAACATTATTTAGCAAGACGAAAAAAAAAGAGAATTTTACTAGAATTGGCTAAAAGATGTTTTATTTGATTATTGATTACAGTTCTACGTAAAATTATAAAAAATAAAGACGCAGATAGTAATTTTGAACGTATAGTTGGATAGCAAATCTCAAATTATGACCTTGTAATTATTTTGAACCTTATTGGAATTAATCAATAAGATATAAGATATGTATTTTTTCAAATATACTATAATCCAATTTGGGCATATACTTAATAATACCCAGGAAATTCATATAAAAAAGGCGAAAAATGCCCAAATTTTTCGATATTTTTTATACATTTTCAACAATAGTAAACATAGTCATAAAATTATGACAATTTCAAGATTTATAGGAAATATTATGTAGATTCAGAATGTATACACCTTTAAAGGCTTAGATACCTTGGCTTTGTGATGTGATAAAATTAATTTTTTGAACCCTTGTTTTTCAACTATTTTTGAAAACGGTTAAAAAACTTCCCCTACAACTTATACTGTATTTGTAAGACCACAATGACCTATATTTTCTTATTCTAACAGTACTTTCATCAAAATCGGTGACCTGACCAGAATCAACATAAATATTAAATATACATATGTATGGAGAAAAAAGTCGAAAAATTGATCATTTTTCGTTTTTTTTTACACATTTTCAAAGGTTCTTACAAATATAGTAAACATACTCATACAATAATAAAATATGAACATTTATAGGAAATTTTATGTAGATTCAGAATATATACACCTTTGAAGGTTTAGATACCTTTATTTTTTGAATCTTGTTTTTCGAGTTATTTTTGATTTGATGGCTAAAACTTCCCCTACAGCTAACACTGTACTCGTAGAACCACAATGGTCTATATTTTCTTATTCTACGCCTTTCAATAATTAGTAAATAGCAGCAGTTTTAATAAAGTCCCATTAAAATATATCAAACTCATGAAAAAATGCCTTAATAGTGGTTTTGCAATTTGAAATAAAATCTTCCTTAACATACATCTAAAAACCAAAATACTTACAAGAGAAAAAACAAGTCAAAATAGGTATTTTATACAAATCAATACAAAAATAATCGGTATCATGCTTGAAAGAGTAACAATGGCTTCTAAACATACAGAAACATTATAGTATCAACCTAACGATACTTAACACACGCTACTGCATAGAAGAGGTGTCATAGTATCCAAAGAATACCACCTCTTCCAATACCTATCTCTTTCTAAAACTCTATTTTGCTAACGCTGTCGTCCAGCATCACTATTGGACGACTCAGCAAGAATATCTCGATTGTATTCGTTGTCTGGTCATCTGGACTCTATCTTTATCTCGTTCTACTACACGGGCGCCTTCAATGATTTGTTCTTCGTCTGACAGGTTAACTATAATCCATCCTGCTACCTGGGTGACTAAAATAACTTTAACTTTCTTTTTAGGCTCCTCCCACGAACAAAGTAGTAGGTGGAGCAAAATAATTCCTAAACACACTGTTCCTGTAAAGGCCGAAGTGAGAAACAGTCTTGTCTGTTCAGTGTTGTTGAGCTGATGGTGCAGTTGAACTATTTTGCAATGAGACTTTTCGGGTTTTGCTCAATTGCGCTAAAACGGGACATTTTTCTGTCGGGAATAATTAAACAATGTCTTATCTGACACTGAGTTGATCCTGGAGAACCGGACATAAGTTTCTTCTATTGAAGTTTTTAGTTTGAAGTGAACAGTAAAAAAAGAGTTTTTTTAAGTGTCGACATTGACTTTTTGACGTTAAAGTGGATACCGACATGACAGTGACTGGAAACTTTGGAATAATGCACAGGCCCTGTTTTTCTGGATATCCATTTCAAGGTTGGTGTAGTATTAGACAGAGGATTGTAGATAGAAAATTTTACATATCTTGGCATTTTCTACACCATATTTTGCGTCTGTTTTAAATATTATTATATGTATACAGTTTATAACCCCAAAATGAGGACCAAAAGCAAATACGTACATTTTAATGCTAATAAAACCTCTCTTGAAAGTGAATATAATTAATAAAAATATAGCTATACAGGGTTCGGCAATAGTAGGTCAGGTATTTGTAGCTCCTATAGAATTAAGAATATTAAATTAATCAGCCATAAAAAATAAGAATTATGTTTAATTGTAAACCTAAAGAATATACGAGGATGTATTTCAGGAAAATATTTTAACTTTTATAGGGTGGCTCAAAAAAGTGTGATTGGATCTGTTAAACTGTTAAAATTGACTTATAAAATGCAATGTATTATTAACTTTATTTCTTCTCGCACGTTTTTTAATTATAGCTTCCATTTTTGAAAATTTTTGTATTCCTTTTCATAAGTTATTCGGGATTTAAATGGAAGTGTTTGGATATGGCGTTTGTCGCCTCAGCCTGAATATCTGTTGGTAATTTACTTATTTCGTTTTGACCCATTTCTGGCTCCAATTCAATCAGCAATCGACACGAAAGATAATTAAAAAATATTGACTCAAAACTGACAACTAAAGAGACAGCTTTATTTATTTGTCAAATTACATACGAAACCAAAGCCAACCCAGCACAAAATTTTTTCTACTCGTAAAATAATATATATTTGGGATTAATCTTATAAAATACAGTTATTGTACTATACAGATTATACAACTAAATGTTGCCTTCCCAGTCTCAATCGCCAGCCATCTCTGTCGTATACGAGCTCTTCTTCGATATTCCGATCTCTCATCGCCTGTCGTATACCATCGTCCCAGGACCGACGCGGGTGTCCCCTTTTGTTTCTTCCAGTGGGTGACCATTTGAATACACGTCTTGGCCATCTTGTGTCCTCCATCCTCATTAGATGACCAAACCTTCTCAAACCTCTTTTCTCTATTCGTTGAATCACTGTTTCTTGTGCCGATGTTCTGTTTCTGATTTTCTCGTTTCTCACTCTTTTTAATCTGGACACTCTAGCGCTTCTACGTAAGTAATCCATCTCTACAGCCAATACTCTCCGTTTATCTTCTTCTCTTAGGGCCCATATCTCACTCCCATAGCATAAGACAGATTCTACCATTGTTTGGCCAATATGTTTTTTACTATTTATATTAATATGTTTGTCCCACCAGATTGAGTTAAGTGCTCCTACCACTCTCCTCGCGTTCTGAATTCTCTGTCGTATCTCTGTCCCACCGATTCCATTTTTATCAACTATAGCTCCTACATATTTGAATGTGTCTACCTGTTGTATTTCTGCCTTGTCGTCAATTAGAATATCAAATTTGTTGTCGGAATTTAATACCAAATATTCTGTTTTTTCTAAACTGACTTCCCGATACTCAGTATATAGTCCCCTGAGCATAAACTCCATGTTAAAGGAATCTTGAGCAAATACTGCTTGATCGTCTGCAAAATTAAGTGTCAGAAGATGTTCCTCATTAATTGGAATACCCATTCCTTGACATGATCTCTTCCACCTCCTGAGAGCTATCTCCAGGTAAATATTAAACAAAAGAGGGGATACGCAACAACCTTGTCTCAGACCTTTCGTTGTACATATGGGTTCCGAGAGTATATTTCCTTGTTTTATATAACTGATGTTATCGGTGTACAGTTCTTTGATAACTTCTATAAGATGCTGCCTAACCCCAATAGTTTCTAATGCCATCCATAGTTTATTTCTCGGGACATTATCATATGCTTTCTTTATATCCACAAATGTTATATGTATTTCTTCATTCTTTCTTATCTTTTTTTCTGCTATTTGTTGTATGAGAAATAAATTGTCAGTATATGACCAACCGTTAAAGCGTAACTCGTTATGGGAAAAAATATTGTTTTATACACGACGATAAAATTGCATTATCCTCAATAATTCAATCCATATTGATAAAATACCATTTTATCGTCTTGTATAAAAAAATATCTATTTTTCTAAACTGCAATAAAAAAACGGCCTCTACTTATTAACTGCAGTATTTATCACCCAGTGTCAATGCAGATGACAATTACTGCACCAAATTAAGTTATACAATGTATTATACATTAGCCGTTGCCCTCCCAACTTCTATTAACCCATCTAGTTGAAAATAAATGAGTTTTTAATTACGTTAAACCTAACCAAACTAATTAAAACACTAATTTGGCCGATGCATCTTATACAACAAGATAAAAAAACGAAAATTAATGATATAGCTGGTGATTATCAACAGGAAATTATAACAGATTTCGTTTTTGTTTAATTTAAATCTAATTTTTCCGTCCAAATTACATCAAAATAATGACACTAATGACATATTATGTTTGGATTCATCATAAAACATCACAAATACCAATAAAAAATCGTTACTTTTGGTATATCTGTAGCTCCTAGAATAAAAACCTAAAGCACAAAATTTGTGCCTAAAGTATGTAGGAGGATGTATTTCAGGAAAATATTTTAATTTCTATAGGGTGGCTCAAAAAAGTGTGAATGGATCGGGATGATTTTTTGTATATTACTTTTTATTAGATGGAGAGTTAAAAAATTAACATTTTTTGTATTTAAAGTGTTTTAAATTAAATCTTAAATGTGCTTTACATACCAATCTAAAGTAAATAGCTAATATAGTTTTGATGTTAGGGCAGTTCTTGTATTTTAAATATATTTTTAAAAAAGGCTGAAAAATATATTTTTTTTATTTATTTATTTATTTCTCTGAAACTATCGAAATAGATTTACTCATATCTTAGGATTATGTAAAGTGATCTGAAAGGAAGCCAAAAATGCAATAATATACAGGATGTTCCATTTAAAAAAAAAATTGTAATAACATCAAAATCAGTCAAAGTCGCAGTTTTTGAGATATTCCGTGTTTTCGTAGTCTGTTTTTGAGAAAATCCGTGTGTACAACTCCAAACTCCCATCGGACGCGACCCCAGGTGGCGGATAGGTGAAATAACCGCGAACCAAAATTGGAAAAATGCCTTTACTTTGAAACTAAAAAAACTGCCTACCAGTTTTTGTTAAGTTATTTTAGTATGGGCGGCTATACGTGCCTCCCGGCGCCAATTTTTTTCATTGAATTTTGGTACTCTTACACACATTCTAATAGCATAGCGAATTACTTAGTCTAAACATTTGCAACAGTTCTGAATGGGTACACCCCATTACGGTATAGAAGTTAGTTTCTCATAAAACATTTTTCTATCTTAATGAATAGAGTCAGTAATTTTAACATTAGACACAAAAAGCTCGAGCTTTTTTATTTTCTACGTAAAGAAGGTGCTTTTTGTTAAGTTTTTTAAAGGTTATCCTATACGTCGAGGCATCGAAATCATGTGAGATGTAAGGAAATATTTGATACAAATTACAAGGTACGTTTCAAATGAGGCCTGGACCTTTCTCAGGAAGCACGGCACATTTATGTTCATAGAAACTTTTTCTTTTTTGGTACACTATTTTTTCGCACCCTGTATATAATTCTCTATTATCGCTAGCTAATGAAATTCATATTTATATCTTTACTGCTCTTTTTCATTTACTGCCCCTAACCTAACACAACCTAACCTAAGCCCACTTTTATTACATACCCTTAAATGTCAATTCTTGCTTGTTTACTTAATTTTAACAACAATTCCAGGAGCAATTTAAAATAGATTGTAAAAATGTTTACAAAAAAAATACAGTAAAACTTTACCTAAGTTCCATAAAAGGTTATAATTTTTTGTTATTTTCACCTCAATTTAGAAAATACAAGACAGCAATCAAAATGTAGTGATGGGCAAAACTGTTATTTTTAGATAACAGTTGAAACTGTTATAGTTATTTATAAAAAACAGCTTAAAATAACAGCTTAAAAATAACAGGTTTCTTTATTTTACTGCTAAATATCTGAAAGAGTATGAGGCGGTCACCGCCAGGCGTATTAACGCAGTTGCAAGTTGCAACAATGACGTGCTCGGTGGTAGTATTTCCAGGGTGTCAAAACATTTCTAAATATCGATTGTTATCTAAAATACCTCTCTAAAAACGGTGGTTGTTTACAAATAAGCGCTGTTTACAAATTGCGATATAAAAAAAGCCAAAATTCCGCCACTCGTCTATACCTACCTATACATTCCGATCTACCTACGCCCTGCCCCTCGATCCGCGTAGATCCTGAATTGCGTAGCAGTGTAGAGGGTGCATCTCACTCGACGGGCGAGAAGCTCTTAGTTATGATTTTACCATTTGCGGTCAAAAAATAGCAATATAAGAAAATGTGTAGTATATTCTTAATAAGTAAACCAACTACACACTAGAGTTCGAATTAATTTTACACTTAAACTAGCGTGTACCCGCGACTTCGTTCGCGTTATTTGGATAAAATTTTCTCACATTTGCCAAAAATAAGCTTTAAACGTTGAGCAGTTTAAGCAAAATCGTGGTTAATCAATTACTCAACTTTTTGGAACACCCTGTATGATTTTTTAAAAAATTTCAAAATATGTAAAAAAACAAAATAAATTATGCGTTTCCAGGCGTTTTCCCGAAAGACTAACCGTTTTTTAAATAATAAATATTGTAATATTTGAGGGGCGTTTTCACCCTCTTGGAATTGTAGATTCGAGAAACCCCTCCTTATTGAACCTCAACCCCAGTCAATCCGTTTGCCAAAAATCAGCTTTAAACGTCAAGCAGGGTCATATTTTATGAAACACCCTGTATATATTTTTAAAAAATCTTAAAATATGTAAAACAACATAATAAAATATACGTGTTTTAAGAGTTTTTTCCGAAAAACTCACCGGTTTTTAAATAAAAAATATTCTAATATTTGAGAGTAGTTTCACCCCCTTAGAATTCGAGTTTCGAAAAATCCCTTCTTATCGAACCTCTACACACTAAAGTCAATCCGTTTTCCAAAAATCAGCTTTTTACGTCAAGGGCTTTAAGCAGGATCGTGATTAATCAATGACCAGATTTTTCAAAACACCCTGTATACATTTTTAAAAAATCTTAAAATATTATTCTGAAAATTTTTCAGAATAAATAAATACATATTGAAACTTAATAAGTAAGTACTGAAACATACAGCGCAGCGCCATAATATCTCAACCTCCGCCCGTTATGCTCGTAACAGGTTGAAACAGAATGTATCTAAAAAAACTGATGCGTTATTCTCCAACCTGTTTCGAACCTCCATCGACAATCGACCGATGCAGCAGCGTTCCTTTGCCACTCCGATTATCTCGACCGCCGCCCTGTTATACTCGTAACAGGTTGAAAAACAACATATCTAAAATGACTGCTTCTCCAACCCGTTGCGAGCCTCCATCGACAATCGACCGATGCAGCAGCGTTCCTTTCCCACTCCTGTTATCTCGACCGCCAGGCGTTATGCCCGCAACTGTTTCAAAAAACCTGCTTCTTTTATATCCTATTATTTTTAAGCTGTTGCGAACCCAATACGACCATCGACGGTATCGACCGAAGCAGCTACGTTCGCCGTAGCGTTTTCCCCACTCCCTTGTCCGTTGTCTCGCCGCCTATATCGATGGTTGACGAAATAACATGTTTTTCATCCATACTAGTTGTTTTTTGGAATTGCTTCGAGCAGCATAGAATTTCGTTGCGGTGCAGGGCGCCGACTTCGTTTTTCGTTTCACGAGCGGCCGATCTCTACGTGTCGTTATTTTATATCTGTTATTTTTTAGAAGTAGTAACGGTTGCGTTATGTTATTTATAAATAATTGTTATAAAATAACAGATAGTTAAATAACAACCCATCACTATCAAAATGTATTAGCAATTAAGGTAACCCGTTTATATCAAGCCCGAAATGTACCACGAGGCCCACAGACGAAGCCCGATTTCGGGCTTGGTAAATATGTCTAATGCAATGTTTATAGATATTTTTGATATAGTACCTCTACAACAAAATCGGATAGTGTCTCAAGTCCCAAAACCCCCATATCTCAAGCAAAATCAGAACTATCAAGTTTGGGATTAAATATTTGTTCGTGTACTGGTTGTACTATTAATGTTAATATTGTAAATAATAACTAGAATATGCATTAGTGTTAAGTTTGATATTTGTTCATTCTTGAATATTTCGAAATAAATAAGTAGTTATGATTTAGTTCTTCATTTTCCAAAAATCAAAATTCCAAAATCCCATATAATTTACATGCAGTGTGCGAAATAGGCATTTCGCGCATTACTTCGCGCACAGTCTCATGGTTACGTAGGAAAATGTCACTTCGCACATTGCTATCAATTCGGGAACCTTGTCGTTTTTTGGACGTTTGTAGAAAAAAAAAATAGTTTGAATTTTATTTCATGTCTATTAATTTTTCGGCGAAAAAAACAATATTGCCTGTCGGTATTTCATCAATGGATGATAAAAGGTTAGATATGAACTGACAACACGGGAGTGATTTACAAATTACAATGATTGACGCCTATATGTTCGCGGTTAAAATAAAAACACTGTATATATTTGTGATATAGTTGTTGTATATACCCATTTAAATATACTGGGTCTTTAAGTTTAACGGGATTAACCACCACAAACACTTAAGTAAAAGTCTAGTACTAAAATATGAGTTGTTTTTAATAATATTAGTAAATTTTTAAATACATTTTTAAATATACATGATACAAAAAGTTACTTATTTCAAAAATATTGTTTTAATTTATCGCAAACAGTATTTTCCAGGCTTTTGTATAAAATTTGAAATACTAAAAAAATAAATAATTTCATCTGATAAATACTGGTTCTTTCTTTGAAACTTTTTTGTATTAAAATACTATTTATTTAAAGATTTTCTATAAATATATTGCTAAAAACCAAGCTTGTACCCTGCAAGACCGAGACCAAATCTTGGTCTCGTATTCGTTCAATAATATTATTACATTTCTAAATAACTTAAATATTACTGGTTACTGGTTAAAAAAAACAAACTTTACAAAACCGATTTTGGGAATTTCAACGAACGTTATTTGGAAAATTCTAAATTGTCTTTTCTTTACTGCTTTATTCTTTCAGGTCAAGGAAGAGTCAATCAACTGGGCGGAGTTTTTATCAACGGCAGACCGCTACCCAACCACATTCGACTGAAAATAGTGGAAATGGCCGCTGCAGGAATAAGACCCTGTGTCATTTCGAGACAGCTGAGAGTATCCCACGGCTGCGTGAGCAAAATCCTGAACAGATACCAGGTAACTAACTCAATTTGAATCGTTTTATTGTCCCTTAATAGTGATTTGATCAAAAACATATAATACGAGCCCTAACAACTATATGTTGGGACAAGGTCATATTATGGAATTATTGCCGTGGTTTTTCAAAACGACTGAAAAATATATGTTTAATTTTTTAAATATAAACATAGCCATATATCCTAAACAACTTGACAATATTTTTATGAATTTGTAAATCAATCCATATTTACAGTAGCGGATTTTGTTCATAAAAGGACAAATTTGCTGACAACTAAATGTTGGGACAAGTATTTTTAAATAATTAATATCATCATAGGCGGCTTTGCTATAAACGTCACAAATGTCGCAAACTGTTTACTTCAGCACTGACAGCTGGTAAGTGACTCGATACTTTGAGTAATGAGATTTACTGTAAGACATTTTAATTTTTTTAATTTTCAATTTTGTTAATTTAATCCAAAGTAATGGTTCGTGGAAAAGCTACAAATCAAAAACTACGCGAAATTATCCTTCGTCAATACAGTTCGAAAAACAATACAGGAAAAAGAATTCGAAAAGTTTCTGATGATTTAAGTATTCCAAAAACCACGGTCTTTAATATAATAAAAAATTACGGCGAATCTGCCAACGTAGACGTTAAAGGTAAAAGTTCGGGAAGGCCGAAAGTTGTATCTCAGAGAGATTTACGAAATTTAGTAAAAATTTGCAAGTCTGCGAGAAGAAGTACTCTTCGCGAAGTAACAGTTAAATGGAATATTGTAACTGGTTTAAATATATCAAAAGAATGTTGCCGAAAATATATCCACAAATGCGGTCTGGGGTTTTACAAGGTCAACTTTATTTTGTGTGGATAATCAATTACCTGAAGATTATTGATACAAATTCTTATTTAGGCCAAAGAAAAACCGCCACTGACAGAAATTCAAAAGAAAAATCGCTACAATTGGGCAAAATCTAAATTATCGTGGACATAAAATGATTGGAATAAGGTCATATTTAGTGATGAGTCTAAATTTGATGTTTGCGTTGGAGATCATCGAAAACGAATAATACGAAATAAAGCAGAAGAATTTCGTAAAGATTTCTTAAAGAGGGTTGTTAAATTTCCTAAGGGGATTATGGTTTGGGGTTGCATATCAGCAAGAGGTTTGGGTAAATTAAATTTTATAGATGGCACTGTTAACGCTCAAAAATATCAACATATTCATGCATTTTGTTGATGTTTCACCATCAAAATTTTAAAAATAAAGAAATTGTATAAAAATGTGCTACAATACGGATATAGTATAATCGTTTATCTATAATTTAATTCTTCATTTGTGTAAAAATACCTAGCCAATTTTACATAAAACAATAAATGCCGAAAGCTTATTTTGCTACTTTTTCGGTCTAGTGAAATGGACTATTAAGAAGCCCAATACGATATACGCACAATACAAAGCCCAAACAATCTGGTTTATAACCCACACTGACCTTCCTACGTTATTTTACGCCCTACGTGGCTGTTTTAACGACCGAGTACAATCGGTACTTCCTTTAGGAATGATTAGAAGTCGTACCAGTTTCACGCCGATCAATTTCCCAGACCTTTTAATTTAGCGGTTCAGGAAAAGCGTAAAGGTCTGTTTACGGAGTTCCATTTCTCTTAAATACTCTCAGTAAACGATAAAAAATGTGTCCTTAACTTGAATTTTTCAGAGGGCATGTTCACACGCGTCCGGTTTTACCGTCAGTCTCGTTTCAGGCTCCTTTCAGTCATAATTTACGACATATTTTTGTTATTTCGTAAGAAAATTGTTGATTTTTCGTAAAAATAACCCTTCTCCAATAACTATCTTGTATTTTTAAGTAGGTTGTAGTACCAAGTACTTCGGTGCAGAACGAAATAAATTAAATTGCAATTTGGAAATGGCCAGAAAAAAAAAATTAATTGTAAAATTATAATATAGAAAATCTGATATAACTTCTTTAGCAAATGAGCTACAGCACTACACAATCCACAAAACACCAAACAATATAAATTATTCATCCCATAACACGCTAAGGGGATATTATAGAGAAAAAAATACCTAGCCAGATTGCAAAACACAAATTACTTGCAAAAAACATTCGAGCTTCACTGTATTTCTGTTCAAATTCTAAAAAAAATGTTTAACATTACAGCCCAATGGACTGTAAAGTATCACATTACCGCCCACAAATTTGGGCTGTAAAGTGCACATTACAGCCCATTAAACGCTTTTTCGCCAGAAAAAATTCGAGCCTCACTGTATTTTTGTTCAAATTCTAAAAAAACGTTTTTTAACATTACAACCCAATGGGCTGTAAAGTATCACATTACCGCCCACAAATTTGAGCTGTAAAGTGCACATTACAGCCCATTAAACGCTTTTTCGTCTTTTTCAGGAAACTGGGTCTATCCGGCCCGGAGTTATCGGTGGCTCTAAGCCCAGAGTAGCTACGCCGGAAATAGAGACGAGAATAGAGCAGTACAAACGAGAAAATCCTTCAATTTTTAGCTGGGAAATTCGTGATCGATTAGTGAAAGAAGGAATTTGTGACAGGAGTACTGCCCCAAGTGTTTCGGCTATATCCAGACTACTTAGAGGAAAAGGAGATTCAGATGGTGAGTTAAAGCACGTAGATTGCAAAATCCTTAATCAATGCAGAATAGACCATCTATTATCTATAGATTCCTCTTTCATCAATTGTGGCTCATAAATAAATTGTAATCTTGTTTTAAAAATGAATTCTCAAGTCTTCCTTTGAAAATCTAAAGCTATGGCAACGTTTTAATCTCAATTCGAAACTAGTTATGGCAAGAGCACTTCTATAACGACCTCTACCAATACCTCAGTGAAGGACGGCGTGTTTTTTCAACGGTTTTTTGTTTCAAGAACCAACACCTTCCGAACGATTTGACCGATTATTTGGTTACTTAATAGTCATCGGTGTCAATGTTAAAATCTCGAAATTTCTCAATAGCTTATACACAAGATGTCATTTCAATGATTCATTTCAAAATTGTAGCGTTTTGTTTATATTCTATTTTTCTAAAGACTAGTAATAAATGGTCAATTTTTAAACTATTTCCACCGATTTTGATAAAACTGCTATTATTTACGATGATGGAGAATAAGAAAACATAGGCCATTATAGATCTGTTTTAAGCATAACCAAAAATCAATCTCAATACAAATGCCAAATTTAAAGAAGATTGGAGAACGAATGTTCTATAAGAAGAGATTTTTTGGTGGTGTCGCCTTTCTTGGCGTAAATAAACTCCTGCGGCGTTGCCGCTCTGACTTGCGGTGTCGGGCTTCAAAGAAGCCGCTTAGTTAATTGTCTGACAATGACGTAACAGATTGGGAAACGGCGAGGGTTCTATAAACTCGAAGCTACAAAGAAAGCTAGCTGCTACCTGTTTTAGATTGTTATTGATTGATTTTCGGTAGCTATCGCCCGATACGACGACGGATTTCGTGGGGTATCGGTAACAGGTTCTATCGAAGAATAAAAATAAACAGTGCTGTATACAGGGTATCCAAAATTTGAGCCTCATCATTGGTAGCTCGGAAACTATAAGATATTGTGTGTATGTTAGATAACTCATTATATAGTCTCAGAGAGACGCTGTTACAGATGGTAGTTCCCCACCTCCGATATCGATAGTACCAAAGTTTATGGTACGAATGGTTGTCGTCTAGTGTTTCCCCATTTTCCCCAAAGAATCTGCATTCGCCGTTGTTTCTCAGCTTCAGTCTACTGAGACAGTGTGTTCCTGTCCGTGAGTCCTGAGAAATTTCTTCGAGTGTCTTAGACGGGAGGATTCTCATTCCAGATTACAGGTGGAGTCTTCCCAGGTTTGGCATGATTTAAATCAAATGATTTATTTAATTTTAATCATATGATTTAAATAAAAAAATCAACTTTTTTAAAACTACAATAAATCGAAAAATAACTGTAAAAAGTTATAAAAATGTGTCCTAGAAAACTATAAAAAATATTTCTATAACAGATATACCCTATATTCATTAAATAAAATGTTACACTTGCTATTATAGTAACGTTCAAATACTTTTAATAAATCGAAAAATAATTGTAAATGTTATAAAACTATATAAAAAATGATTTGTATAACACATATACCTTCTTCTATTGATCGATTAAAATGTTGGACCGATTTTTGAAGTAATTTCGTGTGAATCCATTAGACTTACAAAGGTCAGGAATTTATTTTGAAATTTATGTACAAGTGACAAAAAAACGCTGTTCGAATACATTTCATTCGCAACCTCTAGTGCAGAAAAAGGTTCTTTTGATGTTAGACTATATCTTCAAATCGTTGTCGGAAAATATGCTGTTTTATAATATCTTTTTTGGAACAGCTGTTATCTTCTAGTTCTTTCCAAATTTCTACCGACATTTCGACCTGCAGTATTTTACACTTTGACAATAGACAATACTAATTTCATTCTCGACTTAAGACTATTTCCGAACAATAGTGTATTGTGTAAGGAGTAAAAATTATACTTTTTTTGACGAGGTTATACGTTTGACGGACTAGCGTAAACAGGGAGGCACAAAAGTACATTTTTACTCCGAGTAGAATATACTATATTTTTTCAAACATTACAAATAATTTTTTCATCAATTTTAAACGTTGCGAATATAAAAACTTTTATCCTTAGGTAAAAGTGCTTTACTTTATTACTTTTATGCCTAGGCGTTGAAATGACAAAAATTAATACTCTTGTGACATTTCCAAAAAAAAAATCTTTTTGATCTGAAGCGAGCGACTTTTTTTGCGAAATAAACTTGCGTGCATAGAAATCGGCCCACTCTAAACTTTTGACTTTATTTGTGTCTTTTAGAATCTATTTATCAGACCAAGAAAAAAATATGAGCTGTTTCAAAGACAATTTAACATGCTTTAATATGATTATAAATTTATCCAAAGTACTTATCGTTTATATGCGTAGCAACGGGTAAACCAATGAAGGGTTTTTTGTGTTGTGGTGACAATAAGAATAAAAAACTTATCAAATATTGCAATTACTACTTTACTGATACTTTGTAATCGAAATTTGTACATTGTTCTTTCATTGTTTGATTTGTTGTGTTTCATTGTTTGATTAGTGTTTTAATTTAATGCATACATCTCGGCAAAAAGCTGCCAAAGTAATCGCTTTAATTGAAAATGTACTTAAACACAGAGCTGCAGCTCGGCAACTGCATATAATACACGGAGCGGTTCGAAGAGTGTGTGAACGATATGAGGAGACTCGATCCTTTCGTAGGCGACCTGGAACGGAAAGAAATATACAACGGATCGTGATGACCGCTTTATTGTGTCAACAATATTAAGAAATTGGCATCTTAATGCTATTCAGGTGCAACAACAGCTCCGTGAAACACGAGGAGTGACTATTAGTCAGAGGACAGTAAGACGAAGATTGAAGGAAAGTAACATGACCCCCAAAACACCCGCAATTGGTCCAAAACTTACCCCAGCTCATCGTCAAACACGCCTGCCTTTTGCACGGAACATCTGAATTGGCCACTAGAACAATGGGAATGTGTTTTATTCTCAGATGAGACCAGGATATGCCTCTATGGTAGCGACCGAAGAAGAAAAATGTACCGGAGGCCAGGTGAGCGATTCGCAGAATGCTGCATTGAGGAGCGGATTGCTTATGGAGGTGGTTCTTGCATGATCTGGGGTACAATTTCTATAACTGCACGAACCGACCCAATTTTCATCCGTTGGGGCGACCGTCGGCACGGGAGAGGAGGTTTAACTGGTGCTAGGTATATAGAGGAGATTTTAACAGTTCATGTGGTACCTTACGTCGACTACATTGGAAACGAATTCACTTTTATGCATGACAATGCGAGGGCACACACATCAAGAATCGTACACGATTACATTTCAGAAGCCGGTTTTCGGGTTATGGAATGGCCAGCATGCAGTCCAGATTAAAACACGATAGAATATTTATGGGATGAGCTAAAACGAAGGATTCGTACCATTTAAAGAGCCCCAACCTCTATCCCAGAGCTCATTGTTGCAGTATAAGAAGAGTGGCTTAACATACCGCAAGCAACAATATCAAACTTGATTGAATCTATGCCAAACTGTATGAGAGATGTTGTAAGAGCAAGAGGGAGTCGTACCCATTATTGAAAATTTATTTTAGTTAATTGTCAATCAATAAATAAATAAATAATGGCATACATCTTAGTAATATAAAACGATAATTTGTTTCATGCATTAATTTAATAATTTTAATCCAAAGAAACCGAAATACAAATGAATATCTCTAAACTCTTTTCAAAGAATATAAAATTGTCTTTCAAACAGTATATATTTTTTCTTAATCTGACAAATATGTTCTAGAAAATATATAGTTAACTTCTAAAGTTTGCCTTGGGCCGATTTCTATGCATGCAAGTGTATATTGGAGACTGATGTGGGAAAATAACACGCGCCATAGAATAATTGTTAATGTTATCAGTATCGGGCAGAGTTATGAAGATTTGGCCATTTAGGATAGGACTTTAATTGGAATTAAGTCCTAATTATTTGGAAATCCGATTTAAATAATGTTTTCTATTAAAATAAAAAAATCGGATTTAAATTAAAAAAATCTGATTTTTTTGATTTTAAAAAAAATCATGATTTTTTCCAACCCTGAGTATTCCCGGTTCTTTAAGTTGGTTTCCACTCGGGAAGCAGAACGGTTCTGGTCCAGTTAGTGCAGTGTTCGTTCCTTTTCTAGCTTTTTCATTGCCTGCTGCATTTTTACAAAACAATTAAAAATGTTACCACACTTTTAATAACTGCCAATGTATTATCCTTTTGTTCATTTTTTTAAATATTAATTCCAAATACGTTATTTAAAATTTTAAAAAAATAACACGCAATATGCGGTAACAGGTATCAGTTTCCACTGGTATAGCGTTTTTTTTTAATTAACCAGAAAAAAAACACTGCTATAGAGCAGAGTACAAATAATGGAAGGAAATGACTTTCATTTTTAAAAGAAACCATATTACGCAAGGCTTGCAAGTGATTAGCCCGAACGTACGGTATATTCCTATATTGTATTTATCGACTTTCTGTACGACACCGCCCTTATATAGCGTTGAAAATGAAATATTGGACTTCTACTTTGTAATATATTATGCTCTAATTTAGTGCTTGTAATATAAATTGTAGATGTAAATTGTATGGGAAGGGGCAAGTTATAGATTTATTGTGTCACTCTTTCTTGAGTTATAACTGATCATACAGTCTCCTTATCTGAGACGGTTTTACAGAGGTTAGTTCTCCACCCCCCATATCAGTCGCACCAAAATTTATGGCATGAATGGTTGTCGTCTTGGCTCACTCAGTAATGAGGTGTTCCGGTGTTTCCCCATTTTCCCCACAGAATCTGCAGACCGTTGGAGGATTCCATTCCAGGTTACAGGTGGAGTCTTCCCAGGTTTGGCATGATTTAGAATCAAATGTAGATTTATTTAATTTTAATCATATGATTTAAATAAAAATCAACTTTTTAAAACTACAATAAATCGAAAGTGTAAAAGTTATAAAATGTGTCCTAGAAAACTATAAAAATA